AAGGGTGACAGGCGGGCATGTAGTGAGGGCCGTTCCCTGTAAGATGGTGAACCACTAGAGGTCTCCAAGTGGCAGGGCCAACCATGATTGTCCCCCATTCATCTGGGTTCAGAGGTTGAAGCGTTGGTGGAGCATCGAGCACCAGTATGAAGGAGCGATCGGCGGGCGTGTAGTAAGGACCGTTCCCTATAAGATAATGAACCCAGAAGAGGTCTCCAAGTGGCAGGGCCAACCATGATTGTTCCCCTTTCATCTGGGTTCAGAGGTTGAAGCGTTGGTGGAGCGGTGGGCACCAGCATGAAGGGTGATAGGCGGGCATGTAGTGAGGGCCGTTCCCTATAAGAGGATGAACCCAGCAGAGGTCTCCAAGTGGCGGGGCCAACCATGATTGTCCCCCATTCATCTGGGTTCAGAGGTTGAAGCGTTGGTGGAACGTCAGGCACCAGTATGAAGGGCGATCGGCAGGCGTGTAGTGAGGGCCAATCCCTATTAGATGGTGAAGCCAGCAGAGGTCTCCGAGTGGGGGGGGGGGGTAACCATGATTGTTCCCTTTCATCAGAGAGCCACCATTTTATTTGCCAAAATGTGCCACCCATTAGCCCTGAAGAAAGAGGGACGATGAGATTCCGAAACGCGTTGGCTGCTCTCGTGATTTACTTTGTTGAATAAAGATCAACCGGACCTAAAACACATCGTTGGTTCTCTCGCTTCTCGACAGTCTGGATGCAAACATCGAAATTTGGAATTTAAAGGGAGACGACACAATTATTGCCCGGCTGCCCCTCAAACTAAAGCTTTACAGTTGTCAGGATTCTCAGGAATTCGAGGCAAAACGTTTGTATAGAATAGAGGAGGGATATGACCCCCAGTCTGGTTTTTTTTTTTTTACATCTGTGTCCCATTTGGGGAGATTTCCCTTCAATTCCTGTCCCATAGCCAAACAGGAAGTGAGAGGGAATCCCCCAAAGTGAGGAAAACTGGGGTCGTCACCAGGACTAGTGTCCCCATTGGAGGATTTCCCCTCTATTCATATCCTGGGGACAACCCCAAATTTAGGATTTTTTTCACTTTCAATGATAATGGTAAACAGGATAAATAGAGAGGATAGAGTACATCCTTCCCACTGACCCCCAATGTAAGGGACATCCTTCCCACTGACCCCCAATGTAAGGGACATCCTTCCCACTGACCCCCAATGTAAGGGACATCCTTCCCACTGACCCCCAATGTAAGGGACATCCTTCCCACTGACCCCCAATGTAAGGGACATCCTTCCCACTGACCCCCAATGTAAGGGACATTCTTCCCACTGACCCCCAATGTAAGGGACATTCTTCCCACTGACCCCCAATGTAAGGGACATCCTTCCCACTGACCACCAATGTAAGGGACATTCTTCCCACTGACCCCCAATGTAAGGGACATCCTTCCCACTGACCCCCAATGTAAGGGACATCCTTCCCACTGACCCCCAATGTAAGGGACGTTCTTCCCCACTGACCCCCAATGTAAGGGACATTCTTCCCACTGACCCCCAATGTAAGGGACATTCTTCCCACTGACCACCAATGTAAGGGACATTCTTCCCACTGACCCCCCCAATGTATTGGGGTGTGTAGTGGGGAAGTGGTCACCTACCTACACTCACCAATCATGTCCCAATGTCGGGGACACTACAATGATCTCTGTTCACATTTATTCATTTAATTTGAAGGTTATAATTGGCAATGATCGGTTCCTCTGCAACAAGTCGATGTTAGAATGGTCGTCCTGGGTGATAAATACTCGATCTCGGTCTCGTTCTTTTATTGAAAACGTTTTACAATCTGCTGAGCCGGTGTCCCGGTTGGTGTCGGTAAAATAATTTCAGTGGAGGTTCCCTGAGATCTCAGAGTTATTTCCAGGGTTCCTCCGGGGCGGGAGGTTGAGAAATTCTGGTCTCTACCTCCCTCACACGGCTCACCTGGTTGAAAGCCACAGCTCACGTGACCACAGAAGTCCCGCCTCCGCCCTCAACATAGAGAACAATTCCGGAGACGATGGAGTGGAGTTGCGGTGAGATCAATCTTTCAGCTCGGAGCTCCTGGTAGAACATGGATTCCAGAGAAGACGCGGGAACGTCTCCGACATGCTTTGCTAACTCTGGCTTTTCTTGTGGAGGCACCATGGGGGGGGGGGGGGGGGGGGGGGGGTCGGCGGGGCTTCCCAGGCAAGCATGCTCTCAGTTCATTAATTTTCCCCATTGTGGGCGCGCTCCCTGTTAGCGTCAGACTTCGCGGAATCCGGAGCCCCTTGACCTGGCGTCCCACATGCAGCTGGATGTATGAAGGAGGAACTTAACTGTATCTGAGCGCCACAAGCTGGAAACACTACTCATTGTACTATTCACAGCAAACTACTACAGACATCCATCCATGTCTCCAACCAACCATCCATCCATGTCTCCAACCAACCATCCATCCATCCATCCATGTCTCCAACCAACCATCCATCCATGTCTACATCCATCCATCCATGTCTCCAACCAACCATCCATCCATCCATCCATCCATCCATCCATGTCTCCAACCAACCATCCATCCATGTCTACATCCATCCATCCATGTCTCCAACCAACCATCCATCCATGTCTCCAACCAACCATCCATCCATCCATGTCTACATCCATCCATCCATGTCTCCAACCATCCATCCATCCATCCATCCATGTCTACCATCCATCCATCCATCCATCCATGTCTACCATCCATGTCTCCAACCATCCATCCATCCATGTCTACATCCATCCATTCATGTCTCCATCCATCCATGTCTCCATCCATCCATCCATCCATCCATCCATGTCTCCATCCATCCATGTCTCCATCCATCCATGCCTCCATGCTTTCTTTTTGTTGAGAAATCAGCATTTCTAGCTGCAGCCATCTTGAATAAGGGCAGATAATATATGGAGCATTTACTTCCTGGACTCCATCTGCCCTTAGCTCAGGCAGGGTTGTGTGCTTATATGAAAAAGCCCCTCCTCCTGTGAAGGCTCCTGGGATGTATGACATCATTTTAGCCTAGGCCAGAGACCAGGAAGACACCAAAAATGTAAAAAAAAACCCAAACCTTTCAGTCACGTAGCTCTGATCTGCTGTGTATGACTGCTGCTGGCGGCCTGAGGATGAATATCGGGGATATGTTCCAGTGCATGTTCCGGTGCATGTTCCAGTGCATGTTCCGGTGCATGTTCCGGTGTGTTCAGGTGCATGTTCCGGTGTGTGTGTTCAGATGCACGTTCAGGTGCATGTTCCGGTGTGTTCAGGTGCATGTTCCGGTGCATGTTCCAGTGCATGTTCCGGTGTGTTCAGGTGCATGTTCCGGTGTGTTCAGGTGCATGTTCCGGTGTGTTCAGATGTACGTTCAGGTGCATGTTCCGGTGCATGTTCCAGTGCATGTTCCGGTGTGTTCAGGTGCATGTTCCGGTGTGTTTCAGGTGCATGTTCCGTGTGTCCGGTGTGTTCAGGTGCATGTTCCGGTGTGTTCAGGTGCACGTTCAGGTGCATGTTCCGGTGTGTTCAGTTCAGGTGCATGTTCCAGTGCATGTTCCGGTGTGTTCAGGTGCACGTTCAGGTGCATGTTCCGGTGTGTTCAGGTGCATGTTCCAGTGCATGTTCCGGTGTGTTCAGGTGCATGTTCCGGTGTGTTCAGGTGCATGTTCCGGTGTGTTCCGGTGCATGTTCCAGTGCATGTCTTCCATCCTTTTTTTCTTCACCTTGAGAGTCGTTTCCCACCATGCCCACCTCTGAATCGCACAGAAATGCAGCGCTTGTCCCCGCGCGCTCAACCAGCATGCCAAGCATACAGCTTCTGCGATCTGCAGCGGGTGTCAATAAAAATCTAACGACACCCCAAACGCAGTGCGTTGGCCCACACCTGTCCACACCGGATCGCATACGTTTGTACCATACGTTCCGGGTACTGTGCGTTTTTAAAAAGTAGTGAATGGACTGTTTCTGGCGCGTTGCGATTTTAGTCCGTTCACAATGACTTGGCTTGAAATCGCACCGCACAGAGCCGCGTGTGAATAGCACAGGAGGCGCAGCTCGTTCCCATGCGATTCAGCTCCGGGCATGGTGTGATCCGGCATTCCAGTGCAGCTCAGGATGAAAAAATGCAGTTCTCCTTTTTTTTGGAACAGACGGCACCAGTGTGAACTACGCCATTGGAAACCATAGAACTTACTATGCATGCGCCTTTGCTGCAGAAAATGAACCGCACTGTGGTGTGAACTGGCCCGGAACGTATGCGACTAAGTCTTGTGAGGATGAAGCAGAGCAGACGGGTCCTCTTTGCGGGAACGCCGGGCGCAGCGCCGGGGATTTATGTGGCGCACTCCGATAACGCGTCACGCGAGGGACGTTTGGTGCGATAACTGTGAGCGCAGCGGCAGGAGGTGACGGCTCGCTGCACATCAATATTCATAGGCTGAGGTGTCGCTCTGCAGATGGTGATGTCAAGGATGGAAAATTCCAGCAAGGAGGAGCGCTTGCTGCATTCCGTGACCCTCTATCCTCCGAAGAACCACAACTCCCAGCATGCCCCCCCCCCCCGCCCTCTGATCCAATGTGATGAAGCACGGGGCAGCCAATCCATTTCATGATATAAAGCTGCAACATCAGACAGAATCGAGACTCCACAGAAACGCACGTGAGATGAGAAGTGTGCAGCTGACTTCATCTAGATGGAATTGCATTGTGTGTAATGGCTTGTGAGTGCCTAGAGGACACATGGCTGGACTAGCACTGAGGAAGCGTATGGGAAGATGGGGGGAGGGGCTCAAAATATTACCCCGGGGTCTGTATGAGTCATCCACAGAAAGCAGATACTGTAGAGATAAATCCATCCATCCATCCATCCATCCAACTAGAATGAGCTGGCACACCTGTGCAAGACTGAAGGGGAGGAGCCGGCACACCTGTGCAAGACTGAAGGGGAGGAGCCAGAACACCTGTGCAAGACTGAAGGGGAGGAGCCGGTACACCTGTGCAAGACTGAAGGGGAGGAGCCAGAACACCTGTGCAAGACTGAAGGGGAGGAGCCAGAACACCTGTGCAAGACTGAAGGGGAGGAGCTGGCACACCTGTGAAAGACTGGAGGGGAGGAGCCGGTACACCTGTGCAAGACTGAAGGGGAGGAGCCGGTACACATGTGCAAGACTGAAGGGGAGGACCCAGAACACCTGTGCAAGACTGGAGGGGAGGAGCTAGCACACCTGAGCAAGACTGAAAGGGAGGAGCCAGAACACCTGTGCAAGACTGAAGGGGAGGAGCCGGTACACCTGTGCAAGACTGAAGGGGAGGAGCTGTACACCTGTGCAAGACTGAAGGGGAGGAGCCAGTACACCTGTGCAAGACTGAAGAGGAGGAGCTGTACACCTGTGCAAGACTAAAGGGGAGGAGCCAGTACACCTGTGCAAGACTGAAGGGGAGGATGTGGTACACCTGTGCAAGACTCAAGAGGAGGAGCTGTACACCTGTGCAAGACTGAAGGGGAGGAGCCAGTACACCTGTGCAAGACTGGAGGGGAGGAGCCGGTACTCCTGTGAAAAATTGAAGGGGAGAAGCCGGTACACCTGTGCAAGACTGAAGGGGAGGAGCAGGTACACCTGGCCAAGACTGAGGGGAGGAGCCGATACACCTGTACAAGACTGAAGGGGAGGAGCAGGTACACCTGTGCAAGACTGAAGGGGAGGAGCCGGTACACCTGTGCAAGACTGAAGGGGAGGAGCCGATACACCTGTACAAGACTGAAGGGGAGGAGCCGGTACACCTGTGCAAGACTGAAGGGGGGTCGGGGATCAGAATTGGGGATAAAGTATTGAGGAAAAGTGAGGCGGGGAGAGAGGTAAACATACAAAGGAAAAATATAAAATAATCAAATATAATTATAAATATTTATGTATATAATTATGAAAAAAAAAATATTTATGAAAATGTAAAAAATGAAAAATAACATTTATAAGAATAAATAAATAAAGAAATAATACATCTAAAATTATAAAAATGAATGAATACTATATTTCTGAAAATCGATATTCCGGAGAGCAGTAATCTCTGTGATTTGCACTTTGGGGGAACGGTCTCCTCTAGATTTTGATTTTCTGTGTTTTCCGCTCCCAGAATCCTCTCTATCCAATCACATACAAGCAGAACGTTTAAGCGACCGCGCGCGTTGCGTCCCTTTTACCATCGTCCACCTTTCACCTCTTTTTTTTTTTCCTCCTATTTTTAGCTTTCCTTTGAACAAAGCATCAAAATGTCTGCCGATCTCAGGAGTGTAACGCGAATCTAAAACGTCCATCTCGCTGCGCCCGAGGCTTCGCATTATCATAATGAGGGTTACCAGGAGTCAAACAGCCAGCGTTCAGCGTGCGCATGGAAATCATAAAATAAATGTACGCCGCCTCCGCCGCTTCTTGTTTATGAAGCTCCGGCGTTCAGCGCGGCCCTAAAAAAAAAAAACCGAGAATATTTCCAGGAGGAGGATTGGGGGGCGTCTGTGGAGCTTATTACAAATCCGCCTAATAAAATGAACGCGTCCGATTGGAGTTCGGTCACCAATTAGCTCCTGTAAGTTGGATGTGGAGGGAGAAGGCGCTGCAGCGCCATCGGGGGAGGGTTGTTACCAGTGCGGTGATTGCCCCGGCGCTCCAAGGAGACGCCGTCCTATTAACCCGCCGAGAATGATTTTTAATAAGAAATATGTGGATGACGTCTGCGGGGGGCGCTGTACATAGACTGCGGGGAATACAAACCGCAACAATTATACATTGTATCAGAATGTAGCCAGCGATTGTCATTTATCACTTTACATTCCCTGTCTGACCTGTGATTGGATGACAGCTGGGGGCCACACTGAATATTAAAGCAGAACTCCGAGCAGAGATAAAATATACAAATAATGAAACTTTAATATGTCACAAATAGAAAGGAGAAATCTGAAAACATAAATACTTCATGCTGAGAGCACATGACCACCGATCAGTCTGCAAAGAAACCGATATTGGAGGTCAGTGGGAAGAATGTCCCTTACATTGGGGGTCAGTGGGAGAATGTCCCTTACATTGGGGGTCAGTGGGAAGAACGTCCCTTACATTGGGGGGGTCAGTGGGAAGAATGTCCCTTACATTGGGGGTCAGTGGGAAGAATGCTCCTTACATTGGGGGTCAGTGGGAAGAATGTCCCTTACATTGGGGGGGTCAGTGGGAAGAATGTCCCTTACATTGGGGGTCAGTGGGAAGAATGTCCCTTACATTGGGGGTCAGTGGGGAGAATGTCCCTTACATTGGTGATCAGTGGGAAGAATGTCCCTTACATTGGGGGGGTCAGTGGGAAGAATGTCCCTTACATTGGGGGTCAGTGGGAAGAATGTCCCTTACATTGGGGGGTCAGTGGGAAGAATGTCCCTTACATTGGGGGGGTCAGTGGGAAGAATGTCCCCTACATTGGGGGTCAGTGGGAAGAATGTCCCTTACATTGGGGGTCAGTGGGAAGAATGTCCCTTACATTGGGGGGGTCAGTGGGAAGAATGTCCCTTACATTGGGGGGTCAGTGGGAAGAATGTCCCTTACATTGGTGATCAGTGGGAAGAATGTCCCTTACATTGGGGGTCAGTGGGAAGAATGTCCCTTACATTGGGGGTCAGTGGGAAGAATGTCCCTTACATTGGGGGTCAGTGGGAAGAATGTCCCGTACATTGGTGGTCAGTGGGAAGAATGTCCCTTACATTGGGGGTCAGTGGGAAGAATGTCCCTTACATTGGGGGTCAGTGGGAAGAACGTCCCTTACATTGGGGGTCAGTGGGAAGAACGTCCCTTACATTGGGGGTCAGTGGGAAGAATGTCCCTTACATTGGGGGTCAGTGGGAAGAATGTCCCTTACATTGGGGGTCAGTGGGAAGAACGTCCCTTACATTGGGGGTCAGTGGGAAGAATGTCCCTTACATTGGGGGTCAGTGGGAAGAATGTCCCTTACATTGGGGGTCAGTGGGAAGAACGTCCCTTACATTGGGGGTCAGTGGGAAGAATGTCCCTTACATTGGGGGTCAGTGGGAAGAACGTCCCTTACATTGGGGGTCAGTGGGAAGAATGTCCCTTACATTGGTGGTCAGTGGGAAGAATGTCCCTTACATTGGTGGTCAGTGGGAAGAATGTCCCTTACATTGGGGGGTCAGTGGGAAGAATGTCCCTTACATTGGGGGGTCAGTGGGAAGAATGTCCCTTACATTGGGGGTCAGTGGGAAGAATGTCCCTTACATTGGGGGTCAGTGGGAAGAACGTCCCTTACATTGGGGGTCAGTGGGAAGAATGTCCCTTACATTGGGGATCAGTGGGAAGAATGTCCCTTACATTGGGGGTCAGTGGGAAGAATGTCCCTTACATTGGGGGTCAGTGGGAAGAATGTCCCTTACATTGGGGGGTCAGTGGGAAGAATGTCCCTTACATTGGTGATCAGTGGGAAGAATGTCCCTTACATTGGGGGTCAGTGGGAAGAATGTCCCTTACATTGGGGGGTCAGTGGGAAGAATGTCCCTTACATTGGTGGTCAGTGGGAAGAATGTCCCTTACATTGGTGATCAGTGGGAAGAATGTCCCTTACATTGGGGGTCAGTGGGAAGAATGTCCCTTACATTGGGGGGTCAGTGGGAAGAATGTCCCTTACATTGGGGGTCAGTGGGAAGAATGTCCCTTACATTGGGGGGTCAGTGGGAAGAATATCCCTTACATTGGGGGGGTCAGTGGGAAGAATGTCCCTTACATTGGGGGTCAGTGGGAAGAATGTCCCTTACATTGGGGGTCGGTGGGAAGAATGTCCCTTACATTGGGGGGTCAGTGGGAAGAATGTCCCTTACATTGGGGGTCAGTGGGAAGAATGTCCCTTACATTGGGGGGTCAGTGGGAAGAATGTCCCTTACATTGGGGGGTCAGTGGGAAGAATGCCCCTTACATTGGGGGTCGGTGGGAAGAATGTCCCTCACATTGGGGTCAGTGGGAAGAATGTCCCTTACATTGGGGGTCAGTGGGAAGAATGTCCCTTACATTGGGGGTCAGTGGGAAGAATGTCCCTTACATTGGGGTCAGTGGGAAGAATGTCCCTTACATTGGGGGTCAGTGGGAAGAATGTCCCTTACATTGGGGGTCAGTGGGAAGAATGTCCCTTACATTGGGGGTCAATGGGAAGAATGTCCCTTACATTGGGGGTCAGTGGGAAGAATGTCCCTCACATTGGTGGTCAGTGGGATGAATGTCCCTTACATTGGGGGTCAGTGGGATGAATGTCCCTCACATTGGTGGTCAGTGGGATGAATGTCCCTTACATTGGTGATCAGTGGATGAATGTCCCTTACATTGGGGGGTCAGTGGGAAGAATGTCCCTTACATTGGGGGGGTCAGTGGGAAGAATGTCCCTTACATTGGGGTCAGTGGGAAGAATGTCCCTTACATTGGGGGTCAGTGGGAAGAATGTCCCTTACATTGGTGGTCAGTGGGAAGAATGTCCCTTACATTGGGGGTCAGTGGGAAGATTGGATGTAGAAGTATCTGTTTGGTACATTACTTGCATGACGTTTATCTGTGATTCACCAGCCACTGGAAATGATGAAGTGTTTTCAAAGGGTTCCATTTATTTTAGGTGGTGACAATGTCATGGAACGTGACCCAGGCAGCACAGACAGTTCTACTTCAGAGCCGTGTCAATGAACATGTTCTGGTACAAAGCTGGGCATTCAGCAGCAGGAATTTGCGTAGATTTGTTCATCGGGAAGCATTGTCTGTGTAGCTGGGCCGTCATAAGCTGCTCCGATTTTAAGGAAGCTTTAATTTAATCCCCGGAGGAGCCGGCGTGATTGGAGCTCACAAGCCTGGCTGAGCTGCCTAAGGTTGATCCGCGGCTAAAGACACCTCCGGCTCCGACTTTGTTCTGCTAATTATGATCCGGGAAGGTTCTGCTCACCTCTGTACCCCAGCAGATGGCGGCTGCTTCACTACTGCTGAGCCGAGCTGGCAAAGACCCGTCATCCTGCACTTATCATACATTGTATAGCTCTGACATATACCGCAGCGCTGTACAGAGATCACTGAGCCAGTCACATCAGTCCCTGTACCAGAGGAGCTTACACTCTAATCCCCTCCCCCGCAGTCACATCAGTCTCTGTACCAGAGGAGCTTACGCTCTAATGCCCCCTCCCCCACAGTCTCATCAGTCTCTGTACCAGAGGAGCTTACACTCTAATGTCCCCTCCCCCACAGTCCCATCAGTCTCTGCACCAGAGGAGCTTACGCTCTAATGTCCCCTCCCCCCTCACTTACATCAGTCTCTGTACCAGAGGAGCTTACACTCTAATGTCCCCTCCCCCACAGTCACATCAGTCTCTGCACCAGAGGAGCTTACGCTCTAATGTCCCCTCCCCCTCACTTACATCAGTCTCTGCACCAGAGGAGCTTACACTCTAATGTCCCCCCCCCACAGTCATCAGTCTCTGCACCAGTCACATCAGTCTCTGCACCAGAGGAGCTTACGCTCTAATGTCCCCTCCCCCACAGTCACATCAGTCTCTGCACCAGAGGAGCTTACGCTCTAATGTCCCCTCCCCCACAGTCACATCAGTCTCTGCACCAGAGGAGCTTACGCTCTAATGTCCCCTCCCCCACAGTCACATCAGTCTCTGTACCAGAGGCGCTGACACTCTAATGTCCCCTCCCCCACAGTCCCATCAGTCTCTGCACCAGAGGAGCTTACGCTCTAATGTCCCCTCCCCCACAGTCACATCAGTCTCTGCACCAGAGGAGCTTACGCTCTAATGTCCCCTCCCCCACAGTCCCATCAGTCTCTGCACCAGAGGAGCTTACACTCTAATGTCCCCTCCCCCACAGTCACATCAGTCTCTGTACCAGAGGAGCTTACACTCTAATGTCCCCTCCCCCACAGTCCCATCAGTCTCTGTACAGAGGAGCTTACACTCTAATGTCCCCTCCCCCACAGTCCCATCAGTCTCTGCACCAGAGGAGCTGACACTCTAATGTCCCCTCCCCCACAGTCCCATCAGTCTCTGCACCAGAGGAGCTGACACTCTAATGTCCTAATGCCCAGTTGGATACACAGTATTGGTGGTATTTGCGCTGCCATTGGTCCTTCAGGTGTGAGGGGGATAAGATACATTCTGCTGTATAGTATATACTGTTACACGGCAGATGCACACAATCATACGTGATTCAGCATTCTGGGTAGGGGACACATGCGAGCCGCGTGCGTGCCATACCTGCGCCGCCATTCACGGCCTCAGATGCCAATCGCCAGGTCCTGGGCGCAGATTACCGGCCGGCGCCCAGTGATTACCGACAATCACGGATGGGAAGGAAGACTGTTTTGTTTACTAACAATCTTCCTCCCTGTCGGCTCCGGCACCCTGCGCAGCACAGCCATCCAGATCAGTGTGATTACAGGGAAGCACCAACACCGCGCCCCTAGTAACACAGACCCCGCCCCCTAGTAAAAACACTCCCAGCACACAGTTAACCCTTTGATCGCCCGTCACATTAACCCCTTCCTGCCCAGTGTCATTAGTACAGTGTCAGGGCTGTTTTTAGCACTGATCCCTGTATTGGTGTCACTGGGGATGTCAGTGACACCAAGTCAGTCCTGTCCCCCCCTCCCCCCCCCCCCTCAGTGTCAAAATGCCTGCCATAGTCTCACTATAAGTCACTGATCGCCGCCATTGCTAGCATACAAAAATCCCCGTATTTATCCCGCCATTTGTAGACGCTAGAACTGTCACGTAAACCAATTAATTTCCGCGTATCGGGATTTTTGATTAGCGAAGACACGGAGCGGGAGACATTTTGGCCAAAATTTATGACAAAATTAGATTTTTACAATTTTTTTCATTAGACGTGTTTAATAGCACAAAGTCAAAAATATTGTTTATTTCTCAAAATTGTCTTTTTGTTTTATAGCGCAAAAAATAAAACCGTACAGAGGATCAAATACCACCGAAAGAAATCTCTATTTGTGGGGAATAAGGATGTCAATTTAATTTGGGTGCAGCGCTGCACGACCGCGCAATTGTCAGTCAAAGTAACGCAGCTTCGTAATGCAAAAACTGGCCTGGTCGGGGGGGGGGCGGGGGGGAATTCCTCTGGAGGGGGAGGGGTTAAAGTACCAAAAGACAAATTGAAAAATTCCTTTAAATATTATGCCTGGGAGGGGGGTCCCCCTTCAACTACCTGCAAAGTTGGATTTCATTTGCGCTCTCGTCATGCTTATCGCCACCTAACGGAAAGTCTTCCGATCATGTGACCGCTGTGGCAGCCAATCATGGTGGTCGCAAAATCATAAACCCCGCCCCCACCTCCCGGCATCAGAAACCCCTTTAAAGGGTTAAACGGTCGATCTCAGCTGATGTTGAACAAGAAATGCAGATAATCCACATGGCTTTGCGGCAACCTTCCTTTGGGGGGGGGACATCCCATTTGGGGGGGGTGGGGACAACACCATAACAATGGTCATGGGGGGGCAATTCACATTATTGGCAATTTTAGGTGGGCAACACCATAACAATGGTCATTTGGGGGGGGGGGGGGGGGGACTCCCTATTAATGGAAATTTTGGGTGGGCAACGCCATAACAATGGTCATTTGGGGGGGGGCAACTTTCTATTAATGGAAATGTTGAGTGGCCAACGCCATAACAATAGCCATGGGGGGGGGGGCAACTTCACATTAATTACAATTTTGGGTGGGCAACACCATAACAATGGTCATGGGGGGGGGGGCAACTTCACATTAATTACAATTTTGGGTGGGTAACACCATAACAATGGTCATTTGGGGGGGGAGGGATAACTCCATATTAATGGCAATTTTGGGTGGGCAACGCCAAAACAATGGCCATGGGGGGGAGGGGCAACTTCACATTAATGGCAATTTTGGGCGGTCATTTGGGGGGGCATGGCTTTGGAATGGGATGCCCAACAAGCTGGTGGGGGGGCGATGGCCAGTTGGCCGCAGACTTTTGTCCATTTAGCCTCTTCCAGGATCCCGCCATCTCCGCTGACACTCAACAACGAATGAAGACCACTTGAAGAATAATGCCAAGTATCCGGATTCTGATTGGTCATTCTAGGTCACGTGTCACTTTTGCACTTCTGTCCTATGAACTGACCCCATAGAGACATCGGCTCACACAGTATGCAGGGCGGTATCCGTGCGGCCCGGGTCGCATCGATCCCTCACCAGGGGCGGACTGACAACTCATGGGGCCCCCGGGCAATAGGGGATCATGGGGCCCCTGTGTCCTTGCCAAAACTCAAAAAAGCCTATGAAAAAGGTACCAGGGGAATCTCATGGGGCCCCCTACTGACCCCGGGCCCTCGGGCAGTGCCCGAGTTTCCAAATGGTCAGTCCGCCTGTCCCTCGATCTCTCTACAGATAAATGTTCCTTGAGAGAGATCTGGACTCTCGGGTCGCGGTGCCGGATGATGATTTGATCCCCCGCTGACGGGCCGGCTGATCGGTGCCTACGGCAGCTGTTTGCAGGGAATCGCAGATGGTTGCGTCTCTGCGGCACGTATGATGTCCCGGGCATTGCCGGAGGTGAGGCTGCGACTGGCACGGCTCTGAAAGCAGGGAGACCATTAGAGGAGAACCAATGTCAATGCCGGGGGGCCGAGAGAGGACCCCCCCAAATATCAGAGAGTCGCCCGGTGTCACATGACCTCGCAGCACGGCGTAAGAGACGCGGCCACAGAGCCGGGGGGCCAAGAAAGGACCCCCCCAAATATCAGAGAGTCGCCCGGTGTCACATGACCTCGCAGCGCGGCGTAAGAGACGTGGCCACAGAGCCGGGGGCCAGAGAGGACCCCCCCCCAAATATCAGAGAGTCGCCCGGTGTCACATGACCTCGCAGCGCGGCGTAAGAGACGCGGCCACAGAGCCGGGGGGCCAAGAAAGGACCCCCCCAAATATCAGAGAGTCGCCCGGTGTCACATGACCTCGCAGCGCGGCGTAAGAGACACGGGCCACAGAGCCGGGGGGCCAAGAAAGGACCCCCCAAATATCAGAGAGTCGCCCGGTGTCACATGACCTCGCAGCACGGCGTAAGAGACACGGCCACAGAGCCGGGGGGGCCGGAGAGAGGACCCCCCCCCCAAATATCAGAGAGTCGCCCGGTGTCACATGACCTCGCAGCGCGGCGTAAGAGACGCGGTCACAGAGCCGGGGGGCCGAGAGAG